ATTTAAAACGAAAATGGGGGTTGTCTCAGCAATTTTTAGATGAGATTAAAATATAGATTAATTTGATCAATTAATTACAGATCATAATTAATTAATCTCACCATTTCATTTTTTAATCTCTTGACAGCACTATATACAGTTGTTTTTGTTTGTTTTTTTTCAAAGGAGTGGCTTTGGTCAGACCTTGCTCCACACATGGTGTGAGTGTGTGTGTGTTACACAGTCTGTAATCTGAGCAAAGTATTACAAACTGCAAGGAAGATATCCCAAAATGTCTAACAAGTGACAATTTTAGCTTTTTTTTCTTTTTGCTGCTGAAAAAAAGCTAACGTAAGATAGAGAAGAAGAAAAACAAACATATAATTTCAACAAAAGTGACTTACATTTTTTTGGCTGTTGTTCAGAATTTGAATTTCACCATGGTACCCTGATCTTTCTGAAAGAGATTAAGTGCCTTTCATTGCACCTCAGGTAACATTCAGTCTTCACCGATTGTCTTTCTGCATTGAACAGTACCAGACTGTTCCTGTATCAAGGGTGTCCAAATCTGCTCCTCCAGGGCCAATATCCTGAATGTTTTAGATGTTTCCCACCTCCAACACCTCAAAAGCCGCTTGAACCAAAAAGAAGTGTGCGCGTGTGTGTACGCAGGCCAAAGGAAAGTGTAGCTTCACTTTTTTTCAAATAAATGACCAGTTTCTTTTTTTAATTTATTGTTTGATTTATTTTACGAATCAAAATCCCATGGGATTAAATCTATGATTTGTGATGCTGAATTCATGAATTGTGAGTCATTCATCATACTGTCAGTGACAAGGAAACTGAGAAAGGGCCACTGATACTCTGCAATGTCTTTCTTACACTTGCTGTGTATTGAAATAGTGGGGCCAAGTGCTGTAAATATTTAAAAGGGGTAGTTCATAACCTGTCCCCACAATGTGTAAAACTCTACAGGAGTCCTGAATAATAACTTTCTTGCCATGCCTAAAGCGGGAAATGAGCGATGTCAGATACGTCTGTACTTTCATCGCAGATTGACAAATAAAAGTCTAATTCAGCTCCTTGTGTCTCTTTAGATCCAATCTTCAATTCTCCGTACCACGGTGCTACGAGCCAGGCAAACACTGGCAAATTCTTGCTTCTTCTCTGGACAAATTTAACTATTTACAGCACAGTCTTTAATAAATTCAACCTCAGTGAGGTTTGCAGTGCTTGGCAAGCAGCATTGTCACCTCATAGCTCGCTGTCAGAGATTTTCTCTGACAAAGTTAAAGAAATGACTCGGCACACAAGAAAATTGTCTTCAATATCGGCGGGAGCGGATCTCTGAGAGCGAAGGACGTTAGTTGCTCCGATGATCACACACTCGCTCTCTCTCTGCCGGTTCGAACTTTTATTGCAAAATACAAGAAAGACACTGCCCCCGAGATTTGCATACCGCGCCCCCCGGTCCGGCCCCTCGGTAGTGATCTGATCTATCCGAATACACAAGTCACAGACTTTGTTGATGACAAATGTCCATCTGGGCGCGACAGCTGTTCCCAAACCGTCTTTTGGTATTCAACAACTCTTTGTTCCCAATTTGTTTATTCCCACTCTGTGATTGAATCTAGCCTTCTTCCATCTGTTCGCCCCCTTGCTTTGACGTGAAAAGGCCCTCCTCCCAAACGGCCGACACCTCTGCGCTGAGTATGTCCAGACATGCCCAAATTAACCGAAACTTTAAACATGATACAATTTTGTATCATGTTTAAAGTTTTGGTTAATTTGACTCATGGGCTCTTGTCAAAAAGCACTGCTGTACCATTAAAACAACTTCCAGTTGCTTTCATTTTTCACTGCGTTTGTTCCCAGTTAGCTTGTCGTAGTGAGCACGTTTTGTCTGGTCGTGGCGCTTGACACTGAATTCCTTGAAAACAGCTAAAGTCTCATGGTCAATGAGACAGACACAGTTGTTTCATATTTCGGTCAATAAAATACTCCAATTACAACTTGTTCTGGAATCAGCTGCACTCGCTGTCAACTTTTCTTTTTTTAGCTACAGTCACCATGTTTGAAATGGGATGGGCTGAAATGATGAGTCAAGTGTCACAAGCATGTGGCTCCAGCGCTACTGCCATCTTCTGGTAAAATGTAACGTTTTGGTTTTGTTTTTGTTTTTGTTTTTTTTGTGGGGGGGGCGGGGGGGACACAAGTATATTATACAGCTGTCAACAGTGCAAGTGGGACGCATATAATTGACTTTATAAAAGAGACTAGGGGCCAGTGAAAATTTGAACGCGGGCCTCAATTGGCCCCCAGTACGGGCTTTGAATATGCCTGATCTAATCGAACAAAAACTTTCAGCATGCGTCAGATAAGTGGCAGCACGAGGTAAACGTTGACAAAAAGTTGATCACATTGTTTTGAACGTTCCCCCAATAATCCTTACCTCTCATGCAGTGTCTGCATTTGTTTGTTCTAAAAATTTTAGAGTTAATGTAGCCACCACTAGTGCAGCTACTCAGTGTCACCCTTCTCCTGAAGTGCCGGGGAGCAAATAAATCAATGTCTCATAAATGTATCAAATGTACCTGAAGCTGAGGGCAACTTTTGCCAAAAACGCCTAAAAAAGGTGCACCCAAAGTAAATGTGTAGCTGTTCTTGAACCATTTCGAGTATCAGCATAGTTTTGGTCTCGTTTTGAAGATAACATTTTGAATTTTTCTCCCAAACAGTCAGAATCTGTGTAAGTGCTCCTGTCACTGAACTATGGATGTTTGAAAACAGAAAAAAAGGTGAATCTTATGTTCATCTAATTTCTTTTCACAAGATCTGCCTTGAAAATGAATTTAGAATGTTGATTAGGACTTGAAAACACTACAGGATTAAAGCTTGAAGTCTCCCCAACTTCCAGTTCAAGTTTGACAATAATCCTACAAAAAAATGAGCATTTTACACATGTTTTCTGAAGGAAAGGTACAGGCGAACACCAAATGTTCCATTTGGGTGACCTGTGTGAATACTTGTGGAAAAAAGGCTGCTATTCTGGAATGCTTCAACATACAATCATGATCCTGGGCTCTAATGAAAGCTTAGACTTGGGGATATCTTATCCTACATTCAGATTCAACCCAGATATCACTGAATCTTGAGATTCAGAAGAATCGTGCAGATCAAAGAGATGAGTTAATAAGGCACATTATGACAATTTTGTTTTGCAGACTGACATTATGGGTGCAACACAATGAAATATGTGACAAGTAAAGAGATGTGTTTTATTTCGGCTGCATATTGGAAATGATTCCAAATAAGAAATATAATAGATTTTGTGAAATTGGATAATTTTTTTCCCACAACACACAATTATTTCAACTAATGTGCTATGATAGTTGCTGACAGTGTCGTAGTACACTTGCCTAAGTTGTGAGTGGGGCAGCGTGCGATTGGTTGACGGTGTGGATGTGGGTGTGAATGGTTCTTTGTCTCTATATGTGCCCTGCAACTGACTAGTGAACAGTTCAGAGTCTGCCTGAAGTCAAATGGGATAAGCTCCAGCACCCCACCGTGAACCTGTTCAGGAAAAGCGGCATTGACAATGGATAGATAGCTGGAAATGTGCCATTCGTGATTGGTACTAAACTGACACAGAGGAGACAAACCAGTTTGTCCTCTTCGCAAAGCCACAGTAGCCTTGACCTACACCACCCAGCTCCTTGCTGCTAGGTAGATTAAAAAGAAAACAAACAATAATAATAAATAAATATGTACGAGCTGTTTGAAAACATGTTATGACTCCACGTACAAAGCACGTAAGATTACAGTGGGGGTGACCTTTTGTGAGCTCAATTGACTTCAAAGTGACGCAATTAACTGATGAATTAGAGCTTGTCGACATAAAGAAGAAATACGGCTTGGAAATTTCCACCGAATATAAGCCATCCATCCACCCACCCATTTTCTAATCCACATTTTCTCACAAGGGTCACAGGCGCGGTGGAGCCGAACCCAGCTGTTGCAAAGCCACAGTAGCCTTCTTGACCTACCCCACCCAGCTCCTTGCTGCTAGGTAGATTAACAAATAGTAATCATAAATAAATATGTACCAGCTGTTTATTTGCACTTCATGTACAATGCACGTGCGGTACAGTGAGGAGAATAAGTATTTGATACACTGCTGATTTTTGAAGTTTTCCCACTTATAAAGCAGGTGGAGGTCTGTAATTTGCATCAAAGGCACACTTCAACTATGAGGGACAGAATCTAAAAAAAAAAAAATAAATCCAGAAAATCACAGTCCGCGTTGCCCAGCGACAGCCCCTTAACCTGAATACTCTTCAGAAGGTGTGTATGGAGGAGTGGGCCAAAATTCCTGCTGCAGTGTGTGCAAACCTGGTGAAGAACAATGGAAAAATATCTACAATTACAAACAAAGGTTTCTGCATCAAATATTGAGTTCTGTTTGTCTGATATATCAAATATTTTTAAATAATTAATTTGCAATTTATGGTAATAAAATGCAAACTAATAATTTGAAAATGATTGAGTGTGATTTTCTGGATGTACATACATCATAGTGGAAGAGTGCCTTTGACACAAATTACAGACCTCCACCTGCTTTGTAAGTGGGAAAACTTCAAAATTCAGCAGCATCCAGATACTTGTTCTCCCCACTGTAAGATTCCAGTGGTGGTGACCTTTTGTGTGCTCAATTCACTTCAAAGTGACTCAAGGAACTGATGAATTACAGCTTGTCAACATGAAGATGAAATACCGCTTGGTAATGCCCACCGAATAGAAACCATCCATCCACCCATCCATTTTCTAATCCACTTTTTCTCACAACGGTCGCGGGCGTGCTGGAGCCTATCCCAGCTGTCTTTGGGCAGAAGGCGGGGTCCACCCTGAACTGGTTGCCAGCCAGTCGCAGCCAAATAGAAACCGCAGAGTGTAATTGTGTAAAAACATGAGGAAATCAATTAAATGACCCACCCTCATTAACAAGGGCCCCACCTTAATGGTGGCCGGCAAGTGATTTAAGCTCTTCATGACCGACTGTGAAACGACAGAAGAGAGACAGAAGCAGGACTCTCAACAACGCAAGGCCTGAGAGGGGTTTGAGGAGCAAAATTGAGTGTGCGTGGTGAGTACTTTCTCCATTTTGAAGTGTTTTCAGTGAGCACAACTTTAATGTTGGACATGTTTGGTGTTGCGCTTTGTGCAGTCAAGGGGAAAATATGCATTTTGACTCAGGTTACATTGGATCACACACTTCCACACCAGGCATATGACAAAAATGCCATTTTAAATCTACATACATGCAAAATACGTACGCTCAACATACTGTATTTCATTTTTCAGAATATATTTCTCAGTGACGTCGTAAAAGATCCATCCTTCAACAAAAGAGTTTGAACAATCAAAAATTAAGAATACACTGTGAATTTTTTTTAAATTCCACTGAAAAGAGCTATCACGCAAAATAATTACCATTCAGTGGTGTCTTGAAACAACAGAGGAGCAAACAAATAAAGGTGGAAGAATCAATCTCGTGCATTTTTATTTTTTTTTTTTACAAGTATCAACTCACTCAAAGTTGTAATCTTGTTGAATTGTTGTTTTTTCAAATAAATCAAGGGGCCACTCAAAGAATGGGCCGCTTGTGGCCAGCAGGCCACCATTTGTCCATCCATTTTCCACTGCTGATACGGGGTCGGGTCGCAGGGGCAGCAGCTTTAGGAGGGAAACCCAGACTTCCCTCTCCCCAGCCACTTCTTCGAGCTCTTTCCTGGCAGATCCCGAGGCGTTACCAGGCCAGCTGGTGTCAAAGTCTCTCCAGCGTGTCCTGGGTCGTCCCCGGGGTCTCCTGCCAGTGGGACATGCCCGGAACACCTCATGAGAGAGGCACCCAGGAGGTATCATAATTAGATGCTCGAGCCACTTCATCGGGCTCCTCTCGATGTGGAGGAGAAGCGGCTCTACTCTGAGCCCCTCCCGGATGATCGAGCTTCTCACCTTATCTCTAAGGGATAGCCCAGACACCCTGCGGAGAAAACTCATTTCGGCCGCTTGTATCAGGGATCTCGTTCTTTTGGTCACGACCTATAGCTCGTGACCATAGATGAGGGTTGGGACGTAGATCGACCGGTAAATTGAGAGCTTCGCCCTTTGGCTCAGCTCCTTCTTTACCATGACAGACTGATACAACATCTGCATCACAGCAGACGCTGCACCGATCCCCCTGTCGATCTCTCGCTCCCTCCTGCCCTCACTCGTGAACAAGACCCCAAGACACTTAAACTCCTCCACTTGGGGCAAGATCTCCTCCCCGACCCAGAGAGGGCACTCCACCCTTTTCCGACTGAGGACCATGGTTTCAGATATCGAGGTTCTGATCTTCATCCCAACCGCTTCACACTCAGCTGCGAAACGCTCCAGTGGGAGTTGGAGAGCCCTGCTTGAAGGAGCTAACAGTACCACATCATCTGCAAAAGCAGAGATGCAATACTGAGGCCACCAAAACGGACCCCCTCAACGCTTCGGCTGCGCCTAGAAATTCTGTCCATAAAGGTGATGAACAGAATCGGCGACAAAGGGCAGCCTTGGCGGAGTCCAACCCTCACTGGAAACGATGCCGAGTTATTGCCGGCAATGCGAACCAAACTCTGACATCGGCAGTATAGGGACCGAACAGCCCATATCAGGAGGCTCGGTACCCCATACTCCCGAAGCACCCCCCACAGAATTCCCCGAGGGACATGGTTAAACGCCTTCTCCAAGTCCACAAAACACAGGTCGACTGGTTGGGCGAGTTCCAATGTACCCTCGAGGACCCTGCTAAGGGTGTAGAGCTGGTCCACAGTTCCATGGCCGTGACGAAAACCACAATGCTCCTCCTCAATCTGAGGCTCGACTTCCTGACGGACCCTCCTCTCCAGCACCCCTGAATAGACCTTACCAGCGAGGCTGAGGAGTGTGATCCGTCTGTAGTTGGAACACACCCTCGTTGGAACGCAGCTTCGGTGGTCGCCGAGGCAAAAACCCGGGCGTGGGAAGAGTTCGGTGAGGCCATGAAAGCCGACTTCCAGACGGCTTTGAGGAAATTCTGGTCCACCATCCGACGTCTCAGGAGGGGGAAGCAGTGCACCACTAACACTGTGTACAGTGGGGATGGGGCGCCGCTGACTTCGACTCGGGACGTTGTGAACCAGTGGGCAGAGTACTTCGAAGACCTCCTCAACTCCAGTTGTCCATCCATGATATAATACATTGAATGGATATGTGTGACATTATTTCGAAATGTAGTTTACATGATTCATAGAATGGAACCACGATTCAAATGTTGGAGTCAGAGAAGCGAAAATCTTAGCATCAAAGACTCTGTTCTCCTTGATGTGTTTGATTCCACAAAATGCTATTATTCTCCAAGTTCTGTGAAAAGCAGGAGCATTTTGTTGAACATATATACAAGCATTTTCCACAAAAAATGGGGGATGGTCCCACGCAAGTATTTTAAATTTGACAACAATCATATGCAAACAGGCAAGGAACTGCGAATATGTGGGTCATCCACTATGTTCTACAATGCAAGCCTTTATTAACAACGGTGAGGCTCTGTGTGACTGTCGACTTTGAAGTGCATATTTGGTGCATCAATGACACAATAATAAATGAGCAGTTAGCGACTCAACAAAAAAAATGTATTTCCTGAAAAGGAGTGGTATCAGTAAATACAAGAATTCCACCCAAAGGCAACATTAAGATTGGCAGAGACTTATCAGCCCTCCTCCCAAGGACAGTCCAGGTACCTTGTGGTTCGGCATGGAACTTGGGCTTCAACAAACTGACACTCTGCAAGCAGCCAGCTCTCGCATCATGTTTACTTTCTCTCTATGTACGTTTACCGTCCGTTTTCACTGTCTTTTAGGATATCATCATCCACGATGATCATTCTCAAGGTGTTCGCTGTTGCCCTTGTGCTGTTTGGTAAATCATCAAACTCTCAACTACCAAGTAACAAAGAGGAAGTGAAAGGTCACCATGTAACAAAGATGTCAACTCTTTTTCACAGGAAACAGCTGTCTTTCTGCTAAGATAAAGAGGTAACGTGTCTGCCAATACAGATGTTTTTCCAGGTGACAGTGTTCAATCTGAGTAACATCCATTCCCATCTAGGTCACCACAAGGTCCACCTTCAGGACCACCTGGTCCACCTTCAGGACCACCTGGGTTTCCATTTTTTCCACCTATTATTGGGCCACCAGGACCACCAGGGCCACCAGGACCAGATGGTCCACAAGGACCGCCAGGACCACAGGGTCCACCTGGGTCACAAGGTCCAAAAGGTCCACCTGGACCAGATGGTGAGCCAGGCTCTAATGGTCCACCAGGACCACCTGGACCAGATGGTCCCCGAGGGCCAAATGGGCCACCGGGTCCACCTGGACTATATGGGCCACCAGGACCTCCCGGAAAAGATGGGCCACCAGGACCACCTGGACCAGGTGGACCAGCAGGACCACCTGGACCAGCAGGACCATCTGGACCACCTGGACCACCAGGACCACCTAGTCCACCAGGACCACCTGGACCACCAGGTCCTCCCGGGCCACCACAACAATATCCATATTGGCCTTTTTGGCCACCCGGGCTACGACCACCTTGGCTACCAGCACCTTGGCCACCTATGCAACCAGCACCTTGGCCACCAGCACCTTGGCCACCTAGGCCACCAGCACCTTGGCCACCTATGCTTCCAGCACCTTGGCCACCTGGGAAACCAGCACCTTGGCCACCTGGGCCACCACCATATTAGCCACTCCCATCTTAGCCACCTGGGCCATCACCATGTTCACGACCTGGGCCACTGCCACCACCACCTGATCCAGCATTTTCTGACACATCATCTTATCAACCTGGGTCACCCGGGCCACCTGTTATTATGGATGAAAATGACCCACCCACCATCTTGCCAGGCTATACCATCACTAGGACCACACTTTATTTCAAATCATAATTAGCCACCCCAGCAAATAGCAGACACCAGTGCAGCCACCTGTTGTCCTGGATAAAAAATACCCACCGGAACACCAAATTGTTAACCTGCCCCACGACCCTTCCTAACTGGACCAGCACGCTGCAACCTGAACCACCCGCTGGGCCATCTGTTCCTCCGGATGCAAAAAATATTCTGGAACATGACCATTCAAACCTGGATCACCGCCTTGGTTCCCGCCGAGACAAACCTAGCCAACCCCAGTTATTCGGGATGAAAACGGCCCACCTAAACCACCAGGTGGGTGTGGCTAGACACACCCACCTGGACTAGCAACATCCAGTCCACCACCTGGGCGACCTGGGCATGTCAAGCCTAGACCATAGAAAGTGAGTTTTTCTCATTCCAAAAGAAATCTTGTGCTTCAGCATTTAGCTCTAATCATAATGATCGTGTGGTCGTTGATGCGTAATTGCAAGTTTCCCTTCTGTGCCACCTGCGTTCAATTCAAATAATAAAGATGATTTTTCTTCTTCACGACTTAGTTGCTTGAATGTGACCTCAAGTCAGACATTCTATCCTTCGTGTTCAGACACATGATCATGCTTGGTGGGTATGACATTAAATTGCATGTACATCATTCACTTACCAAACTCAACTTTATTGGAAGAGCATTTCAAAACAGTCTTGGCAAAGTGCTCGACCTACGGCAAAAAAAAAAAAAAAAGTGTCATACAATAACAAAGGCAGTGGGGGAAAAAAAATAATCAATAATATAAAATACAGCAGACACCATTAAAGTAAGACAAGAGCCACGAGTCCAGCTCCAGTCCTCAAGGACCAATGCACTGCCTGTTTTCCATTGCTCCCTGCTGCAACACACCTGATTCAAACGAACAGGTCATCAGCAAGTTCTGAAGAAAACTTGAAAATGATCCCGATCATTTGAATCAGGTGTGTTGCGGCAGGGAGAGAATGAAAATGGGCAGGGCAATGGCCCTTGAGGACGGTGTTTGGACATCCCTGCACTCGGACAATGCAGAGTCTCAAGCTGGGCTGAAAGCCATAGAATAAAATTGCGTTTTAGTCCTTGGTACCTCCACTTGCGTCTGAGCTGAGAGGCACTGAGCTGGTACGTATGGATGGATTAGCTCAGAAAGGGAATATAAAGTGAGGTGAGAGCAACTAAATAGTTGAAAAAAAATACAAACAGGAATCCCTCATTTATCGCGGGGGTTATGTTCCAAAAAGAACCAGTAATCAGTGAAATCCGTGAAGTAGGACTTTTTAAAAAAAAGCAAAAAATATGTTCGAGGGACGAAATTTCAAATGCGCTGTATGTTTCACATACAGCGCATTTGACAATTAAGTTGTGCTTGGTACTTGACAGTCAGCTTTATTTTTGACAGTTATCATACAATACTGCACTCTGTATACAATGCAGAGGCGTTTGCTCTAAGACTGCAAGGGAAGCTCAGCTTCCCCTAAAATGTCACAAAGTAAGTGATCAAATATGTGCGTGTACGTACAATTGTGTGGACATGTTATTGACTAAATATGCGCTACAACGCGCTCAACTTTTGTTCCGAATCAGATTCAGATTCAGAAAACTTTATTTATCCCTGTGGGGCAATTAGAGTTGTGCGAGAGCAGCTTATAGTAGAGACAGTAAGAGCAAGGAAAGACATAGGATAAAAGTAGCTTAGCACTTGAGGTCTTGAGGTAGTGGCTTCAGCATCGAAATAGTATTGCACATCGAGCAGTATTGCACACTGTAAACCCGTATTGCACAATGGGGTAGGCGAGTTTGTATGGTGGGGGAGGGGTGTCAGGGATATTGGAATAAGAGTTTAAGAGTTTAAGCGGAGAACAGCCTGGGGGACGCAGGTGGATCTCCTTCTCGCTGTCCTGCAAGCTGGGAACCGCAGCCTGCGGCC